CTAACTCCCTAAACCCTAAACCCTAAACCCCTACTTCCGAAACCCTCAGCCCAAAATTCATTTGCACGGGAGGCGGCCGGAGTTTTGTGTTGAGGGCTTGCTGGGAGTACCAGGTTTAAGGTGCACGGATCTATGGGGAATCTGGGGTTCCGAATCGCCTTCAGTGTTTGCTACTCTTCGCGCCTTCACATCGATTCCATGCTCACAGGGAAAAGCCTCACAACCGAAGGACGAAAGCACGAAACCGAAACCCCTAAACCTTGAACCCTGAACCCCCTAAACCCTTTTGAGCCCTTGAGCCCTCTTCAACCTTCTAAGAAGTCTTTTGGTGTTTCGAGGGCTTGTTGAGGGGTTGAAGGGTTTCAAGGGCTTAAAGGGTTCAAGGGTTAGGGGTTTAAAGGGCTTGCTTCGTCGGGTTTAGGGTTTAAGGTTTAGGGTTGAGGTGTAGCGTTTTAGGGCTTTAGGGGTTACAGGTTCGGGTTTAAGAAACCCCTTCAAATAGACCCCTGTGCCCGCTCCCGGCCTACACCCAGCTGTCCGTAGCTGTTGCTACCCCAGGCCAGTAGCCGTCCAGCCTGGGAATCCGTGTTTAGGGTTTCGGGTTTAGGGTTTAGGGTTTAGGGTTTCGGGTTCAGGGTTTAATAGTTTAGGGTTTAGGGCTTAGGGCTTAGGGCTTAGGGCTTAGGGTTTCGGATTTAGGGTTTAGGGTGTAGGGTTTGTGTTCAGGGTTTAGGGTTTAGGGTTGTCCTCCCTCTTGCGGTGGTTCTTCCATTCCAGGGGTGCTACGTGTGTTTTGCAAGCTGAAGGAAGCAGGTTTGAGACCTGGAGGCTGTACTGGGGGAGGTTTGGGGGCCCAAAAAAATGTTGAACGTTTATGGCTTTAGAAGGATTCCCCCTTATACTACCAGTCCGTAACAGGGATTATGATTATACTAGGGGGCTACTAGAATCCCCATTCAGGACTGTTAGTATGAGGGGGAACATCCCAATTTGCGGCTTTGTACGGATTACTTGGGGGATCAGGGGTAAAAAACCACTTAAATCCAACACCTTTGGATGCCCGGTCGTCTTGGCCAAGGCTGCAGGCGAGTTTCTGACGCAGATGTAACACGAATTTCGGGGGACAGGAATCTCTACATTGGTGGAAACAGATAGTAATATCTAATAGACAAGAAAATATGTAAGTAAATATGATCTATTCAGTATTTAAGAATGGACAGATAGTAATATCTCATAGCTACAAGCCGGAAACCAGAACGTTCAGCATCTCTGTGATTGTACAGTGAACATTTCAAAGCTCATCGGTGCTCTGGTCAGGGCAAGCAACTTTCCGAATCGTTCCTTGACTCACCAGCAACTTCTTCAAGCTGTGGTATTTCTCTGAGTACCTCTCCAGCATGTCATCATGGAATTGGTGGTAGATCTCTGCTTGGTGAAAGGGGAACTTGTTAGAGTCATAGACCCAGACTTTCTTCGTTCCAACGGTGTCATCATCATTGCCCTGACCACGCAACAGCTCAAAGCGCCCCGCGTTCGCAGCTTCCACGGCCTTGAAGAGGGGCCCATCCACGCCACCTGGGATGCCGATGGCTGATCTGTACTCGCTGCCGAAGTCTTGGGGATCGGCACGGCCGAACGGATACTTCGATGCAGCATCGAAATACGCCTTCGTAAAATCGCCCACGTTCTCCTCGGGCACGCTCACGCTCACCACCTCCGTGTGGCCCATGCGGCCGTAGTCCGGGGCCATTTGCCTGTTGTGGTAGCACACCTCACCGTTGCCACCCACCTCCTTTCCGCCAGCATAGCCAGACACCCCCGTCACTTCGCCAGCCAGGCGAGACAGGGTAGCCTCCTGCTTGACCACCTCATGCTGAAGGTGCCAAAAGCAGCCCTGTCCCATGTAGATGTTCACGTTGGACGCAGAAGCAGCCCGTGGGTAAGAAAGAACTGCCAGAAACACAGCCGCCGCTGCCAGCGATGTACGTGCCCAAGTTGGCATTGAAGAGCTCTCTACATCTTGGGAGGCAAACTCTGCGCCTCGCAAGTGAGGGAGGAAGGATCCCTGAGGTTTGTATGCCTGGTCTGTTGCGATGCTTTCCGTAGCTGGCGGAGCCATCCAGGCCACTGCTCCCGGCAACAGGAGCAGGACCAGCTTTTGCCGCATCATCGTGGTGGCGGTGCTGTGGGAACAGGTTTGGGCCAAGCTCGAGCTGCAAACCCGATCTAAGCCCCATGTTTAAACCCTATCTCACACTTGCGGAAACCCGGTAGTTCAAAATAACACGAAACCACTATAACACTAAACCACGAAACCCTAAGATGAGAGGGTCTGGGGCGCCCGGCTTTGTCCACCACAAAGGTCTCGCGCTCACCACCTCGCTCTTCAACGTGCAGGAAATTTGTAGGCTTCCGTTTCAGGGCTTCAGGGCTGTGTTTAGGGCTTAGGCTTCTCGGGCTGGAGCCACCCACTTCAGGACTTGTCAGTTGAATACACCTATAGAGGTGGTTCAGAACAGACCCTTTGGAGGGCTCGGAACTTTTTGGGTTTACCACAATACCGTAGCCAACTGGAGTTGCAGAGAGGACCTCTTTTTGCTGTGCTTACAGGCTACTGACTGCAAAAGTGACCCAGTGGAGATTCCTGGACGCCGAAAAACCCCTCAAAAGCCCAAGAAGCCCCCCCTGAACCACCCCATTTCACCCCGTGAAGCCCCCCCGTTCTCCCCGTTCTCCCAGAGCCCAAAGTAGGTTTTGACGGGGCGTGGGGAGCCTTGCCGCATTGCCGGTCCGGGCCAAGGGTTTGTGGATTCCTAGGGTCTTGGAACTGGCACCCTGCTTTCCCTAAACCCTAAACCCTAAACCCCAAACCCTAAGCCCTAAACCCTAAACACTAAATTTCAGGCTGTCTGAGATTGGCAACTGGCTTGCGGGCTCTCGCATGGCTCTTGCAGCCCGGCCGCACTCGACGATCTTAAAGTGCGTGCTCTCCTCGATGAGAAAGTGCTTCGGCTGGAGGACCTGGGCTTGTTTCAGGGTTCAGGGTTCAGGGTTCAGGGTTCAGGGTTTAGGGTTTAGGGTTTAGGGTTTAGGGTTTAGGGTTTAGGGTTTAGGGTTTAGGGTTTAGGGTTTAGGGTTTAGGGTTTAGGGTTTAGGCTTAGGGTTTAAAACTTTGGCACACTTCTCGATGAAGGGGCGTAACCAAAAATAAAGAAATGTCATATTCGTACATGCACGCATGCACGCACGGACGGTCACCCACCAAAAACTCTACACCCACTCTTTGCGTGTCCTCTAGGTTATTAGAGCCTAAACCCTAAACCCTAAACCCTAAACCCTAAACCCTAAACCCTAAACCCTAAACCCAACTTCAAGGCAGGGACACAGCATGGCAAGCAAGCAGCATTCTGGACCTCCCCAAGAAGGGAGCCCTTGCCCCAGAGGTACAGCTCGTCTTGCAAGGTGATCTCAGCACTTGCTTGCAGCGACATGTCAGAGCTTGAACTAACTCGATGGGAACATAAGAATGCTTCATCGCTCAACGCTAAACCCCCCTAGCCCTAAACCCCTAAACCCCAAACCCCAAACCCTACACCCCAAACTCTAAACCCTAAACCCCCTTAGTTCTTTGCACATTCCTGAAGCCCTGAGCTTACGTTGCATCCGATTCAGTGCTGGCCGCTGCCGCGGCATGGTCCACGCCCAGCGAGAGCTCCCGCACCTTGCAAGGACGTGCTCTTCGGGCGCTCGCGGTTTTTGAGCTGAGGGATCTTCGGCCCTCTGCCGGCGCAGCCCCAAAAAGCCCGATGCTTCCAGTATTCAGGAGCTGCTGTGTTGGGCGGAGCATGGCGGAGCCTCCGAAACCCCCCCAAAGCCAAGCCTGAACCCTGAACCCCGAACCCTCAGCCCTAAAGCCCTTCCCCGGCACCCCGGTCTTTGGGAGCTTCACTCTGGCCGGGCGGGTGTGCGTCTCTTGGCTGCCCAGTCCCAACCTGGGAGGGCTTAGGGCTTAGCTCCCCCCTTAGAGCACCACAAGCATTGCTACTGCTCCGACAGGATCGAGCTTAAGGTTCAGAGTTTGGGGGCTTCTCCGCGACATGTGGGAGGGGGGATCAGGGAGAAGCTCTGGATGATAAGGATGCTGGGAGGTGGGATCATGGATAGTTATAAGTAGGGTTAGGAAGTATGGGGTTTGGGGTTTGGGGCTTGGGGCTTGGGGCTTGGGGGTTGGGGCTTGGAGCTTGGGGCTTGGGGTTTAGGGTTTAGGGTTTAGGGTTTAGGGTTTAGGGTTTAGGGTTTAGGGTTTAGGGTTTAGGGTTTAGGGTTTAGGGTTTAGGGTTTAGGGTTTAGGGTTTAGGGTTTAGGGGTTGCGCGCTGTGAAGATGCCGGATTTCGGATTTCGGATGCCTTACTCTGCCTCGAGTGTCCCGACGAGGCTGGATGCAAGGCCTACTCTGAATCCTGCTGGCCTTTTATCGGGTTTAAGGTTTAGGGTTTAGGGTTTAGGGTTTAGGGTTTAGGGTTTAGGGGTTTGGGGTTTCGCAGGATGTCTTTCTCAATGCCAATCCTTCCTTCGGCACCGAATATTAAACAGCAACCCTCTCTCCGCAAAAAAATTGCAGTCCTAAGTCCCCCAAAACCTAAACTACTAATTACATGCTCAAGACCGGAAACAATAACGACACCCCAAAATCCCTAAACTTTGCTGATGCCCCACTCGCTATCTGGAGGCGCTTGAACCAGCCCCGCCTGCCATACCAGCCGTTGCCAAAGGTCCAGAGAAAGTTCTCAGTCTCAGCAGCGCCCTGAGCTGTGTAGGGTTCAGGCTTCAGGGTTTGGGGGTTCGTCCTTGCGGTTCACGGGATTTAGGGCTTAAGAAGGCTAAGGCTTTAAGGGTTTAAGTTGAGGGGGGGTTCAAAGTCTTTGGACCTGGGGTCTGAACTTCAGAGTGACATGCGGACGGGACGTGAGCAGACCCCCAAATCCGAATGCGCACCACGTCAACCATGCAGAAGCGCACAGTTTATAAGACGCTTGTCCATAGAAGCACCCCACTTTAGAACAACTGCCTGCGGCCGAGCGGCACCCTGCCCACACACCACTGCCGTGCTGTTGGCGCCACATCTCACCTGAGCAACCAGAGACACCGATCGGGATCCATGCAAGCAACACCACCCCGAATCATTCGCATCTGGAGGATGCCTCGTGGGCCTTGTTGCCTGCCCTATGGCCCAGCGGATCAAAACCGTCAACCGCCAGCCCGGGGTAGTAAGCCTGTCGACCCAGCTCACTGCAGCTTCGCTGCAAAGAGCGGGTTTGACTCGGGCCCGGGTTTGTCGATCTCCACCTGTGGAGGTCCAGGCTCAAGCACATCAATGTTGTCTAGAGCACACCGCGCAGGTCCAACAGGCACCAAAAAGACCCCCAAAGGTCCACCCGACTCGCTCCGCCTGCGTGGGCGTGTGCAGTGGTCCCGAGGTGATGAACTGGCCGAGACCCAAGACACCGCTGTCCGAGCTGCCCCAAGTGTACAGCAGTCCTGGCATGGTTGGGATTGGTGAAGGGACCCACAGGAGACCGCCCAATCCTATGATTAAAACCCCTAGCCCCCTGTTGGTTAGGGCCAAGGTTTCAAGAGCCGAGGTTTAGGGGCAGGACTCTTTGAAGGCCGAATACTGCAGAGCCCACAAAACTTCCAGCACCTCAACTTTTGTGCTGCCCTAAGCCTTCCTAAGCCGACTGCTGCCCAGCATCTCTCACCGGAGGGAGCCTGGACGATGGCAGCGCTGTGGATCCTTGCGCTGGCCCGGAAAGTTGGCGGGTCATACTGTCAGCGCAAAGGCGTTTTGGGAAGTCATTAGCGTGTAGTCTTAGGCGTTTATGAGAAGGGGGTGGCGGGTTTGGGCGCTTCGGGTCGGGATCAACCCCAAACCTTACAAGCTTCAAACATCTTCCCCTAAAGCCGTGCAGCCGCTTAGCACGGAAGCTGTGGCAAGACATGTCCACCAAACCCGAAAACCTCCAGTTGCTGTTGAAGATCTCACCAGCTGCCACCATCTGCACACGGTCCAGGGTAGGGACTTGGCACGGTGTGGCGGCATCTCCTGAGTGGCCAACCAAGCAGTGGGTTGGCTGTTACGTACGATTCTGGGAGCCAAAACTGGGGAGTTTGCCGCTGCGGTTGCTGGTTCGCTGCAGGCACCGCCGGTGCTCACTCGTTCAAGGATTTGGTGTTTAGGGGCACAAGTGTTGGGTAGTTTTGGCTGTGCCCCGCATGCTTCCTCCGTACGCTCCCTCCCCCACCATGCACAAGGACACCTGCGTGGCTTCGAGAGTGAGCCTCTTTTGCGCAAGTGCCCCGTAGGCTTGGAATAACATTCGCATGATGATTTGCTGTGGAAAACTGTGCACTAGTAATTCAAAGCATGAAACATTAGATGGCCAGTGGCTTTGTAAGATTTAGCGTATTGAAGATGAGGGGGGGGGCGACTGTTTCGCGGAAGGCTGTGTTAGGGCGCGCAAGTTATTTGAGATGTTTCAAACATCTCGCAAAAAATCTATATACTGCTCATAGACCCAAAAAACCTGTATAGTGCTCATACACCCATGGCATTGTTAAAACTTTGGTCGACTGATTTCACTATTTTTATGAACTAGAAGCATATTTATCGAACTTATGCACCACACTATATTTTACCTTCTCCATTTTTGGTTAAACTTTCATCAAAGGGGTCAGCACTATTCTCATTTACGTTTTTGTTCTCAATATTCTTATGGCGCAGGTCGGGGTGATGGCTAGGGTTCAGGGGTTTCAGGTTCAAATGAGGGTTGATCGATATTCTTGTTCCGATGGGCGCCTTGCGCCCGCCCTTGCGCGCTCTTGCGCACTTCTTGCGCGCACACCAGTTTTTCCATAATATCTTATGACAAATTCTAAACCCTACATTTCTTCCAGGAACCCTAAACATGAACCCTGTCGTACTAAAAGGGCGACCAACCTGGGCAGCTTGGAAAGGGCTTGGGTTTTGGGCTGACGTCTCAGGCAGGATTTGAGGCTTGAAGCTCGCAGGCTTGCGGTTCGCGCGCACGTGGTCTTGGGTTGGTGGCAGGCTCTCAAGTTTAGGGCTACTACCCCGTAGTCTACGCATGGCGTCCATTGCAGCACACTGCCCTGTGACTTTTGCCTCTGGCATCTGGGCCCATGCCTTCCATGGCGACGCACGGCTTGAGCAACCCTTGCGCGTTTCTTGCGCCAGTCTTGCGTCAGATTTGCCCATACAAGACCCTCTGGGCTATCAAGCCGTACAGTACAGATAGGGTTGAGAATCAACCCTGAACCAGCGAGACCATGGCAGGCTCTGCTGAGCTGCAAAGCCTGCAACCGCACCCCTAAGGGGTCGCCGAGTTGAGACACTGAGTCTCTATCAATACCCGAACCCCAGGCAGGCGTGCTTGAGTGAGCCGCGTTCCTTTCAAAACCTATCGGGTTTAAGACGAAGTTCTCATGTAGATGGCTTTGTATTTGTAAAGATACATTAAACATGCCCCCGCGCGTTCTTGCGCCCGCCCTTGCGCGTTCCTGCGCGTGCACCATGTTTGGAAGGCTTTTTCAAGAGTGGTCTTATGAATAAATCGCCTCTTTAGTTCTGCGTCAAGAGAACCTAAACCCTAAACCCTAAACCCTAAATCCTAAACCCTAAACCCTAAACCCTAAACCCTAACCCCTAAACCCCTAAACCCCACTCCCCCGTTTTCCAAAAACCCGGAGCCACGGCTCGGCAGTGCCCCAGGCCCAGCTGCCCCTCGAAGCCTCGGCCCCAGGACCACAGCTCCTGCGACTTTGGTCAGGGTTTAGGGTTTAGGGTTTCGGGTTTAGGGTTTAGGGTTTAGGGTTCAGGGTTTAGGGTTTAGGGTCAAAGGGGTGGTTTCAAGGCCCAGGCATGTCGGAGCGGTGTCGGGCTTCAGGGTCAGAGTTGGGACGTTCCCCCTTCTGCTACTTATCACAGTCCTTTGTAGGATAGTGCCTTTTTTGTAATCCCGACTAAGGGCTGTTAGAAAAAGGGGCACATCCCAAAGTCAGGGTCTTAAAATCGTAGGGGCTGAGGGGCCGGGAAGAGGGCTCCAGGGCATTTCGGAGCTTCGGAGTCCTGGGGGTCTGGATTCGTGTCGGGCCCCAGCTTGGCTCCTTCCCATCATATGCAAGGCAGAGGCCCTTCAGGTATGTCAGGGCCTGCCAAAGGAGGATCACTTGAATTATAGGGCGGCGGTTTAGGCCCTAAACCCTAAACCCTAAATCCTAAATCCTAAACCCTAAACCCTAGACCATGTTTTGGAGGGGTTGAGCCTGCCCCAAAGGTCCCCGTCCTCCGACATTGTAGCTGCCAGCGTGAACCTTGTTGAATCTGGCTGTAGCATCGCGTGCATGTGATGGGCTGGAACTGCACGCAGCACCGGACACACAGGGGGGGGCCCTTGAAGGTGCAGGACTGATCTCTACTTCCCAGCAGCAACAGTAACTGAGGTCTGGACTCGTGCCCGCAGCATACCTTCAGAGCACTTGATGGCCCAGATCGGTTCGTACGATGATCGTGTTCACAGCACGCTTGCGCAAAACAGTCACATCAGGGCAGCTCACATTAACGGAAACTGAATGCAAGCCACCAGCCCTCCCAAGCCCCTAAGCCCTCCCAAAGCCCCGAAGCCCTAGAAGCCCTCCCGCCTGCTTAATCACGCGCCCGAAATCCAGCTGCTTCGGCACCCAGTGGTAAATCTGGGCATCGTCTCCTCCAACCCCAGAACCACCGCATGGTCAACCCCAACCCTACGGGGTCCCAGACTGAAAACGCCAATGGAAGAACAACCGGAGCTCTGTCAACCCCAAGTCGCGGGCCCCAAGCTTTGAGGCCCTCAACAAATGCCCTGAACCCTAAACTGGCACAAAAAAATGCCCTGAACTCTAAACTGGCCCCATGGCCCATAACTATCCCTTGAAACCCGAAACAAAAGCCTGAACCCTGAACCCGAAACCTAAGCCCTTGGCCCTGCAACACAGAGACAGTCAGAGAGAGAGAGAGAGAAAAAAAAAAAACACACACACACACACACACAAACAAACAAACACACACACACACACACACAGACATCTAAACGCCCTAAACCTCGACGACAAAATCACGAGGTGATAAGTTGGCTAAGTCTGTGGTGACTTCGTTGTCAGCATCTGCTCAACATGCTCGAGATTGTCTACTTCGACCGGCTCCATTGTCCAGCGGAGGCTACAGGCGGCTCCCTTCTTACGACAGATGGCTCAGCAACTCTTGCGATCTGCATGTTGGTGGTTTCATGCTTACCACCGACCAGACACCACCACCACCAACGACCAACCTAAGACCCCTTATACCCTATACTAACCGTGCTTTGTAGGGATTGCTAATCAGGGGTACTATGATCCCTATGAAGGGTTCCTAGTCTCAGGGGGAACATCCAAACCCATCGCCCCTCAAAAGCCCTAAACCCTCAACCCTACACCCTAAACCCTAAACCGCCCCCGGGGGGGGGGGGGGGCAAGGGCCGTGGGGAGTCCTCCGAAGCCCAACTGGCCAACAGAGTCGCAGCCCCAGCCTGGGTCCAGCGAAGATCGGAGGGCTTGGGGCGTCGGGCTTCGGGTCTTTAAAGGTTGAGGGTTAAGGGTTAGGGTCAAGGGTTTAGGGTTTAGGGTTAAGGGTTGAGGTATGACAGGGTTTGAGAACTGAGAACCCTACGGTGTAGAGTGCAAGGCATTAGGATTGCGGAATTAAGTGCAAGGTTGAGAGTTTCAGGGTTCAGAGTTTAGGAGGTTTGAACGGCTTGGGGTTCAACATGTAGTGTGTACTAGGTTAATCGTTCGGGGCTTCGAACGCTTTAGGGTTCAGGTTCCTTTAAGGCCCAGTTTGAAGGATCCCGGCTCAATGTACGAGTCTTGTTGGGTTCAGGGTTTCGGGGCTTAGGAGGCCTGACTTGTTGAGTGACGAGAGGGTCGGAACATGGCACTGTGGGCCCAGGTCTTGGGCGAGTTTGGGCATGAGGGGTCTTCATGCCACCTGGGGTTTTCGAGGTTTGCTCAGGGGCAACCGGATTCCATGGGCTCATGCGTCGGAAAGACTACAACTCACGCATAGCTGGCGCGATGCAGGACTTGCTTCAAAACCTTGACCGCAGGCTTCCGCATCCGGGCCGCCGTACAGGAAGCCTCCGTGGGTGCGAGCAAAGACGTGGGTCGAACCGCAGCTGAGTTCAGCCACCACGTAGGCCAGCTTCGCCTGCTGCTGGGGGTTTAGGGTTTAGGGTTTAGGGTTTCGGGTTTAGGGTTTAGGGTTTAGGGTTTAGGGTTTAGGGTTTAGGGTTTCAGTTTAAGGTTTAGGGTTTAGGGTCTAGGGTCTGAGGGTTGAGGGTTGAGGGTTGAGGGTTGAGGGTTGAGGGTTCAGGGTTGAGGGTTGAGGGTTGAGGGTTGAGGGTTGAGGGTTGAGGGTTGAGGGTTGAGGGTTGAGGGTTGAGGGTTGAGGGTTGA